TGCCTGATCCCCCGGCTACATGTTGCCCATTGATTAAGCCATTGACTGAATGGTGATAAGAAAGGAAAAGATTTATACCTATCCTCTTGGGAGCACCCCCACCTAGCTGGATCTAGAGCGCGATCCTCCTCGATAGCCCACTCTCCTCCAAGGAATAAAAATTGAGCCTTTCAACTATGAAAGTTGGAGTGTAGTCCAGCAATCAACTTTCCTACCTTCGAAGAAAAGTGAAACCAACCTCGATTAGTGGTGAGGTTCTCTGATATCATATAGGCGGCAAAAACTTGTTCACAAGTAGGAGAGGCACTCAAGTCATGCACTCATTGCCACAACGAAAGAAACACTAACAATACTCCCCAATCATTTGGAGTTAACTACGCTAGCATGAGAGGCAACTGTGCCAAGATACGACACACAAACATAGGAATCGGGAATTTCAAACCTACCTCTAGCACCACTTCATAGATGACAATGTCCCTAGATGAATCATTGGAAGCCGACTCTCCCATCTCAGCCCTATGACACAACACAATAGGCGGAATACAAAAAATAGAGGCGATTCTAACAATTTTAGCTTCAATAATGATAACCCTAGAAATAGTGCTCACCTTAGAGCCATTATCGTCAACAACTATTTTCCATGAAGTTTACCTCATTGTGCATGCTGGGCAACATCGTTTCTATCATCACCAATCCCGCAGCCCATAGACTGGTTGTTTGCCTGCGTCTCACTGCCAACGCCATCTTTGAGCGCCTCGCTTGTGCTTTTGCCTGCTTTGTGTAAGCTTGAGGCCGCAGCTACATGTTGCCCATCGGTTAAGCCATCGACTGAATGGTGATAAGAAAGGAAAAGATTTATACCTATATTCTTGGGAGCACCAAACCTTACTGGATCTAGAGTGCGATCCTCCTTGGTAGCCCACTCTCCTCCCAGGAATAAAAATCGAGTCTTCCAACTATGAAAGTTGGAGTGTAGTCCAATAATCAACTTTCCTACCTTTGAAGAAAAGTGAAACCAACCTCGATTAGGAGTGGGGTTCTCCTGTAGCATATAGGAGGTGAAAAATTGTTTGCAAGTAAGAGAGGCACTCAAGCCATGCACCCGTCGCCACAACAAAATAAACGCTAACAAAACTCTCCCACCATTTGGAGTTAACTACGCTAGCATAAGAGACAACTGCGCCAAGACACGACACACAAATGTATGAATCGGGAATTTCAAACCTACCTCTAGCACAACTTCATAGATGGCAATGTTCCCAGATGAATCATTGGAAGCCGGTTCGCCCATCTCAGCCCTACGACACAACACAATAGGCGGAATACCAAAAATAGAGACGATTCTAGCAATTTCAGCATCAATAGTGATAACACTAGAAATAGTGCTCACCTTAGAGCTATCATCGTCAACATATATTTTTCCATCAAGTATGCCTCATTGTGGATGTTGGGCAACATCGTTTCTATCATCACCAATCCCACAACCCATAGACTGGTTGTTTGTCTGCGCCTCACTGCCAACGCCATTTTTAAGCGCCTTGCTCGTGCTTTTGCCTGCTTTATGTATGCCTGAGCCCCCAGCTGCATGCTGCCCATCGGTTAAGCCATCGACTAACTGGTGACAAGAAAGGAAAAGATTTATACCTATCCTCTTGGGAGTACCCCACCTTACTGGATCTAGAGCGCGATCCACCTCGGTAGCCCACTTTCTTCCTAGGAATAAAAATCGAGTCTTCCAACTATGACAGTTGGAGTATAGTCCAACAATCAACTTTCCTACCTTCGAAGAAAAGTGAAACCAACCTCGATTAGGAGTGTGGTTCCCCTGTAACATATAGGCGGCGGAAAATTTTTTTCAAGTAGGAGAGGCAATCAAGCCATGCACTCGTCGCCACAACGAAAGAAATGCTAACAATACTCTCGAACCATTTGGAGTTAACTATGCTAGCATGACAGACAATTGTGCCATGATACGGCACGCAAATGTAGGAATCTAGGATTTCAAACCTACCTCTAGCACCACTTCACAGATGGCAATGTCTATAGGTGAATCATTGGAAGTTGGGGCACACTACTATTATATATATTTTTTTAGAAAAATAACCATATTGATAATAAGACTTGCCCAAAATATTTTTTTTGATAAAAATTGAAAATGGGGGTGAGACTAGGGTATATGCTAGGTATAATGACCGCAACTAGATTCATTATTCATAGAAAATTGAATAACAATAATTAAGAACAGTAAAAGCAATCGTGAGATTGAAAAAAACAATTCAATGAACAACAAATGCCCCAAAAGATTTCAAAATTTTCAAAACCCTAACCCAATGAAATGCATAAATCACGAGTCTAAAACATAAATAGCAAAATCAATGCACAAAATCAAATATTTAATCAAATTTCAAAGCATGCAAACAAACCACAAAATAAGAAAAACCTTGAAAAAACAAAAACAAACTTGGCTACAAACCTAGTTTTTCTTTCTTCTTCTTTTCGAACTAGCTGGGCTACGCCTCTGTTCGCCCTCTTTGTTCCCCTCTCTCAAAGTCTCTCTCTCTCTCCCTCTTGTCGGTTGAGTGAGAAAATGAAAAGTTAGAATTGAGAAGGGGTAAATTGCACTAATAGTCCCTTAGATTTATCACTTGTTAAATTTTAATCTTGTTAATTTAGTTCTTAAAATTTACACATTTGTTTGATATGATCCCTTGCACTAACTTCCGTTTGAACCGTGGACGGAAAAATATCGCGTGCTTTGCATGTGACTGTAAGGGTAGCTAAGTCATTTTCACCACTCCAACATTCAAACACACCTATGTCTCCTTTGAACAACTTTAAAACAATTCCCAAACAAATTACTTCTTTCTCTCTTTTACTCTTTTTCTCTCTCGCACACACAACAAAACACAAGCCCACACATAACCAAACCGAACAAATTATTTCTACCTCTAATATACTCTGTCTTTTTGTACAAAATACACGCCAAACCCAAGAACTCACTCCTCTCTACACAAATCACACAGTCACACACACACACAAGACACTCTCCAATTCTCTCTTTTTCTGTACACAACACACACACACCCACCCCAAAATACCTATTTATACTAATTTTGTGAGAACCAGCTCCACCAATGTCAGTACATAATCTACCTACCAAAAAACCCAATTCAATTGACCATAATCAAAAAATTAGAACTCCCAATTCGAACCAATTCAAAATCCAGTCACAAAATTGGAATCAAAATCGGATTAGAAATTGAAAACTGAAAATAAAAATTAAATCAATTATGTGTCAAGTCTATGCTGGTGTGGAGGGTGTTGGGAAAGGAGTTGCGTCGAAAAATAGAAAAGGGAATGGTGGTGGTGCGCAGGTTGAGAGAGAGAGAGAGTTGGTCATGGCGAACAACCACAGTGGTGGGTGGCGTTGGTGGGGTATATGTGTGTTGTGGGTTGGGTGTTGCGCGTTTGTGCTTCATGCGCGTGCATGCTAGAGTTGTTTGGGAGAATTTTGTGTTGTTGGGTTAATTTTGTGGAAGAATGGTGGCAAGGGGTGGGTTAGAGTTGTTTGAGAGAAGAAGAAAGAGAGTGAGGGAGAAGTATGTTAATAGTTTTAATGGATAACTAGTCGTGGGTACTTTTTTTAGAACTTATTTGACTTTAAATACTATGTCCAAACTTATACTTCATTAAGTTATTTTTTTCATCAAATAGTTGTCAATAAGTACACATTTAAAATATTTCAAATTCTTTTTGAAATGTATTTCATAATTACCCTTACCATAAATATTGTATATTATTGTTAGTTTCAATGTTTTCAAATATAACAACTTCTAACTTGAAAATTGTACTAGCATTAAAATTATTTTTCTATTATATATATATATATAGTAACACGCTTAACAAAAAAACAGTAATTTCAAACAGTAATATCAAACAATAACATATTCAACAAAAAAAATAGTAACATGCTCAATAAAAAATTTAATTATTGCAATAGAGTGACATCATATGTGAGTATTTATTCTTCTGAAAGGGTGTCGCTCTATTAAAATGATTAAATTTTTAATTAAATTTTTCTTGAGCGTGTAACTGTTTGATGTTACTTCTTTTTTAAAAAGAGAGAGAGAGAGAGATTGGCCTGAAGTTGACGTATTGCTGAACTTTCATGAAGTTGAAATATAAAAAATAATATCAGGGTTACAGAAAGCAAGAGAAGAAGGAGAAGGAGAGAAGAAAAGATAGGAAAGAGTAACCAAGTTGTGTGTAGGGTAGGTTGTTTTACACTCTAATTTATAACTGTGTAATTAACACATGACAAATAGCACAGCTTATGATACGCAAGGACACAAGCTCTTCATTTCTGGGAGATCGCCAGGATTTTGGTTTTCCAAAGATGTAGAAAATGAATTTGCAAGAATGCGTGAAAGCTCTATTTCATGCTTAGACGGTTAATTGTTGCGATAATCAGCTGCCGAGGATGCATGAAAGACTGCAATATTAGGATTTGAGTAATGATATTAGAACCTAAAAAACTAATCTGATTTACTGACAATGATATGAGAGTGATATGATCTAATAGGATCGTGGTAACTGTATACATGTTAGACTTCTCCATCATTCTCTCAGCTTATTAGGTCATTTTTTAAAGATCTAATAACATTACTCTTAGGATTTTGGTACGGAAGTCGGGAATTTATGAAGAATGCAAAATTTGGATTTTGATATGAAGAAACTTGAGTGCAAAAAAAAGTGAAACATAATCATGCATCATAGTTCAAATGAATGTCTTGATTTCTGAATTTGAAGCATGGGTTTGATACACCGTCTTGAAGAGCACTTTGAAACTTCCATCACTTGGTAACTAAACACCTAAATCTTTACATCATAATTCATATGTAACACTACATCGGACACACTGTTGTTCAGAAAGAAAGAAAAAAGAAATAACTCGCATCAATTAAAATGGAGGAAGAAGAAATAGGCAAATCAAAATTATACCCCCCCCCCCCCCTCCCCAAAAAAAAAAAAACAAAAAAAAGACTCCTATTTTTTATATCAGCATGAAATTTGTCGTGACTGTCAATACAGAGGCAACAAAAGCTTAATCTGTACCGAACAAGTATGAAGGGTGTTGGTTGGAGCATCACATACCAAAAATTGCACTTGAATTATTTTTCAGGCCCCCTTTCAGTTAATAATTTGGTCCTCATCATCTTCTTCTTCTTCTTCTTCTTCTTCTTCATCATCATCATCATCATCCTCCTCCTCCTTCTTCTCATCATCCCTGCTTAATTCTGTGAATTTCTCAAGTGAGGAAACTGCCAACAATTCCCCAGCTTTGCTTTCGTTGTTGACAGGCGTTTTAGCTGAATTAGTCTTTCCTTTGTTCATCTGTTGCAATAAATTGGGGTAAGCACTCAGAAATTATAGCATTTAATAACACAAAAATGAAAAAAAAAAAAATTTGGAGCATGCTGCAATTGGCAAAGTAAAAACAATATTATGAAGATATCTAGGGGCTATCCCACATCGGATAGCCTTAGGGTGTGTGTGTGTGTATTTATGACGGCTATGGCACTTCTCCTTTCAAGGAGTTGTGTTGTAGTTTGTTTGTCTCAAAAACAACTGTGTGCTTTCCAGGGTGGTCCCGTGTGGGCTCTGCTGCATCCCACTTTAGGCCCGTTTCAAAGTACGGGGAGGCCAATGGGCCTGGGTGGATCGATGGGCAGGGGCTATCCCACATCGGATAGCCTTAGGGTGTGTGTGTGTATTTATGATGGCTATGGCACTTCTCCTTTTAAGGAGTTGTGTTGTAGTTTGTCTGTCTCAAAAAAAGATATCTACAAAAGGATTTTATCACATTATTGCTTTTAGAAGTTAACAATGAAAGCAACATGCATTCAGCGAAATGTCTGCAGGCAAACTGTCATCCCAAACTCTTAATACAAAGCCCATGCAAACTAATGCATCTCAATACTAATTAAAAATGTTCTAAATAAACAGGATCCCAAAAAAAAATCGCAGAAGTTCAAAAATTTGGCTGATCAACCAATCCAGTTAACAGATGCAATCATCTGGTGACAGAAGTTTGGTCCGAAAAATAGTGTCCTTGGTCTCTCACGGCCTATGAACTGGACCTGCCCAAACAATCCATAAGCACATCCTAAAACTTCTTTCAGGGACTACACAACCAAGCAATTTGAGTAAACTTGTATATTTTGAGTCTTTTGACACCAAAACATACTATTCATTAACTAAAATAGTAAGAAAAACAAGAACTACTCCCACTTGCTCAAGAACCACCAATTTCAACCAAATTATGAAAGAACCACTTCTAAGTTTTTTTTTCGCCTTCTAGCTCCATCAAGTAAAAAGCCCTACTGGTAACTATTTTCATTCGAAATATGCAACCACTTCAAAAGATGTATTAATTACAATGTCTTGAGAACGGACAGGTATGAACACCGACTTTGCTCAATCTGATGAGCTGTACATCCATGTGTTGACCATAAATTTTAAGAAAGATCTTGCATCTGGCCTGTTAAGGATAATTCCTTGTGATATTAAACCATCGCCAACATATTGATGAAAGTTTTGTAATAACAGACCTACATGGAGCCACTATCAAAACCTAATCTCATAATTCTCTTATTCAAAATGGTATACTTGGCTTTAAAACCATAATTTTTGCCATCTAGATGCTTCATTATGCAAGTTTCACTGTATTTTTTTATTTTTCACGCTAGATGCAGATGCATATGAATTACATACTAAAACCTTTGTATTGTGAATCTATGCTTTCAAGAATATTAATTTTACTTTAGTGACTTATCCCTCAAAAACATATGAACAACATTTTTTGACAACATCAGATGTGTGCTGCTAGCTCTTGCAAGCCATCACTACAAGTATTCATCATGAAAGAGTCTTACAATTTGACAATATTTTCTCCTTTTAAATTGGTATAAACAATGCCTAGGCATTCAAAAAGAACCAATTCAAAACCTGTACTGAGTTTTGTTCTAATTTTTAATTTCATGCAGTAAATTCCAATGCTGCTAAACGTAGCATTTAGCAAATTGACAAAAAAAAACTAAGAAAAAGATGACAAATCTAAAATTCATCTTAAAATAAAAACTGAAGGGCATTGATATTGGGTCTTACAGCTCGTAGTAGAGTTCTTCTATCCCTCTCTCGAGCATTCTTAATGGCCTATCACATATATGCAGTGCATCAGCACTGAATCAAAAACCAACAATAAATAAACTGTAAACAATAAACTTATGAACAGTCTCCAAACAATAAACCACCTCCTCAAGTGTCTTTTGCTCAGCCTCCACTTCTGAACTATCTCTGCAAGTCAGTAACATATATGCATACTCAGCACTTTTGACAATAAATTGAATGCATTGGCATTATTACCTTCTAGAAAATGAAGCAATTTAAGGGAATTTTCGTTATCAATGTTATATAATTCTATCATATGCATAAAACAAGGCTTGCCTCCCAATTATCCGCCCAACTTGGCACGAACACTTTGCACAGACATTTTGCTCCTTAGCACAAGCTACATATACATATTGCATCAAAAAACCAATTGAGTTAACAAAAATCAAAAAGAAAAAAAATCATACATGTTTTCTATGCTTACAAGGCCTTAAATCTTATGACAAGAAAACTAAAATTGAAAACTAACCAGGACATAGATTGTGATAAGCCTGACGAACGGTTCGTTTAGAACATCGTTGGCTGGTAAAAATTTTCAAATTTTAATTCACTCAACAATCCTTAATGAAGTAACCGAATGAATTTACAATTACATGGAAGAAATTGAAAAGATTAAACACAAAATTACCATTTGGCGGGCTCGATGAGGGGTTTGTATTTGCCGTACTTGCGTTTCCAGTCGATTTGATCTTTACAGCGAGAGCACACTCCGGTAATCTCCGAGTACGGCCTGAACTTGCCTCCCACCTCCTGTCGTCGGTGATATACACATATATTAGCAATTTATATCGGGCCAGAGAGAGAGAGAGAGAGAGAGAGAGAGAGAGTACGGTTTCGTTGATCTTGCGACCGGCGTTGGGTTTCCAGGCGTACGTGTTTTGGTGCTTTGGTGGCTGCCCTCTCCTACTGCTGCTCATCTTTAGCGCATCTCCTTCGGCGCTGAAGCCAAACACCCCCTGCTATAGCAAATGACCTATTGGGCATGTTTGGTTACGAAACCAGACCAATCCTTAAAAAATGAGGATAACAAAGTGAGATTGAACAAGATCGGACCCGATTAGTTTGAATTAGTCTTACAACTGTGAGAATAATCTCTCCTTTGGTCTTACTTGTTCCGGCGGCGACAAATTTATTTTTCGTGAATACTTTAATATAAAAATAATATATGTTTTGCCAAAGATGGATCATAAAACAAAATTAATTAACACTAATATTTTATTTGGTACGATTAACAATAGAAAAATGAAAAATTAGATAGACAAATAAAATATTATGCTTTGTAAGAAAAAAAAAATAAGAAAGATGAAAAAGTTGATAGATTAATTTTTTTTAATTAACTAAAATCAATTTTTTTAAATTATAAAAAAAAAGTGAATAAAAAATTAATTATGTGTGTTAAATTGTATTATATTTACCTACTAGCGATATTAGAATATGTGTACAGTTAGAGTGTACATATAATATGTGTTTGTGTGTGTAACTATGTGTATTATAATGTGTGTACAGTTTGAATGTATATATAATGCGTGTGTGTGTTGGAGTATGTATGTGTGTGCAGCTCTGAATTGGAGTGTGTGTAGCTATGTGTTTTGGAGTGTGTATTGGATTTGTAAAATTTAGGAAAAAAAATTTGTGTTGGGTGTGTGAAATTTTAGAGGGAAAATATACTTTTATAAGTTTAAATATCTAGTTAATTTATTATATAGATATATAATTTTTAATCCAAATAATTTATGCTTAAATTGTAAGTGTTATCAAAATTTTGTACTTGATGCGTGCATATTACTCATGGGAAAAGAATAATTTTTTGTTATTTTAAAATTATAATTTTTTTCACATATTTTATTATTAAATTACTTATTAAAAATTTAAATTGATAAAATCTTATTTATGATTAACTGAGAGTGAATGAATTAACTATATTATCTATTAAAAAATTTATTGTCAAAACTTAATCAATATTTTTATATTTCAAAAAATAAATAAAAATAATTTTAAAGAAATAAAAATTATTATAATTAAAAATATAATATATTAATAAATAAAATATTAATAAGGTCTCATATGAAATTTTTTTTTAAGACCCCACTTTACCTTGGACCGCCCACCCCTGTTTCATCAAGCCAATCAAACGCACTGTACACATATATCTACATAATGTATAATATGTAATCAAATTGCGAGTGTGGTGGATTGCCAAGAATAGGTAAGTTTCTTTTCTACCTATAATTTCAAGATGAAATCTGAAGAGGAAAGACAAGTAAATTTTGCGCACACGGATAGAACATGTTTAAATCTAGTAGTACATGGACTGTCGTGAAGTAGCTGAAATTACAAGGTATGGGACATGGGAGACATTGTTGGTTTAAGACTAGGAGAGAGTTGTCTTGTCCTGTGCGTGGGCCAGTTGTTGGGTTGGGTGGCCTCCAACCTCCACCTCCGTTTTGTTTTGTTTTGTTTTCATCCATCCTTAATCAAAGCAGCAGCAGCAGCCGCCACCAACGCTCTCGGCGGTTATTTCCACATTTCCCACCCTCTGCTCCATCCCGTAGCCAGCTTCTGGAGAATATATTTGCAGATCCAAGAGGTTTTGGAATTGGACCTGATGGTAGGTATAGATGCTAGGATCCCAAGTTTACCGAAGGCACTGCTCATGTCTAACCCCTGAAGACTGGTTGTCCATTGACACTAGAGCCGGTTTCCAATACTCGAAGGACGGATGCATGGCTCTTTTTTATTTATTAGTTGGTGTGCATGTGCGTTGCACGTGGACTATTATCATATTAATTTATTTATTTTTTATTAATGATAAAGATTGTTAACTGTCTTTTTTTTAAGACCAAAATATGCGACAATCAAAATAAAAAGAAAGATTAACAAAATGAAAGAAGAATAACTATTATTAATTTGAAATTACAAAGATAACCCTTAGTAAAAGTATTCTTTATGTTGACAATATTTTTTAAACCAATAATAAATCACTACACAGACATAGCTAGGAAACCTCACCTAGAGAAATTATCCCACCCTACATAAATGTCCATGCGTGTGACTACAAGTGGATCTAAGGGTGTCTATGGGTTGAGCTATTCAACGGTTTTGTTATCCGGCTTAAAAAAAATTGGTCTAAAATTTGATAAGTTCGATAGTTGACCAGTCTGAGTATGTGTCCAATATCTTTAAAAAGAGGATTTAAATTTATCCTCAAACTCATTACCCGACCTGAAGCCCAACTCAAGAGCTCGCCTGTCAAGCCCAACTCGCTCACATATCCTGCCTTTCTCTTTTTTCAAAAAAAACTTATACTTTTAAAACATTAAATTTGAAATTTTAAAATAAGTTTTTCAATGTCGAAATTTAAAGTTTTAAAAATTTAGATAGTATAAATAATGTATTATTTTATTTTTCACGTATTAAGTATATAAATTTTAAAGAATAGAGTAAGGCAAATGATAGATAAGTGAACATGTGTCAATCTAGTTGGGATGTATTCATTCTAGATGTAGTTCATCCCCTAATTAAAAATAAAATTATTAATTATTTTATTTTTATCCATTTTGACTCTACTTTTAATTTTAAAATATAATTTACACAAATATTAAATTACAAAAATATTCATTAAATAAAGTTATATATAAAAAAACCCGTGAACAAACCCGTCTAATGGGCTTGTAGGTTAAGATGTGGATAGGCTACCCTTATCCGAAGTCCGATTCGACCTGTCCGATAATTTATTTGGGTAAGAATTTAAACTTACATTATCTAGCCCAACTCGAAAAAAAATTTTGCAGGCCTAAACCAGCCCGACCCATGGACACCCCTAAGTGGATCTCTCTTTGCGCCCTCCAGGCCATTTCCAATTGGTGCATGATACTCCATGAACCGGACAAGGGTATGGGAAAACTAAGGGAATGCATCTCCTCATTCAACGGTTGATTAAATGTTCAAGATTCTGGTTTCACCCATAATTTAAAGATTAAAACACGTTAACTATACACGATACAATAACACATAATGACTTTCTAAATCCTTACACACTGAAGAATGCTTGGCAGAACTCAACAACAATCATCAATTACCTCCAAAGTCAACCATAAATTTGAAGCAGAGCTCATTTCATAAGCTCTATTTAAAATTACAAAGCATGTCAGTTATTCAATTGCAGAATGGCCAAAAGCATTAGGAAAAATTCTTTAAGGCAACAGAAAACAATTTGGCATCTATTATACAAGGAACATGATCCTCTATACCCTGTAAAAGCCTCCATACATGCTATTAGCCGACAGTAAACATATGTTTCTTCTGTGGTTTCAACATATCATTTAAAGTTGGTTCTATCATAAATATCCTACAAGTGTGTATGAGAGATAGAAGACATTCAACTGATCATAAATGCATATCAAGCTATTCTCAAAGAATCACATATATCAGATAAATAGTGAAATCAGGACGATATAAAAGTGTTAGTTTAGTCAAGAAGGCATGCAATAAGAATTAAAACACTATGGTCAATGTAGGATGAACCATCTAAAGGTTAAAACACACATAACATTTGAAAATTAGAACAAAGTCATCATAGGAACATATTGATGGCCGTCTAGAATCTATTTATATAATGATATTTTCCGAACAAAAAAAAAAGGAATGGACAAGTATCCAACAATTAGTACACATTTTCCACATTTAGATGACTCCACAAATATTTGCTTCTTTATCCTCTTCAGAATGCTATGTTTGATGTTATTGCATAATTTTTTTTTATAGTCTCGACTAATTTTCCGTTCAGCCACAACTAACCAAAGCCTTAATAAGAACATTATGTCAAAGTACACAACAATTTCTTTTGCTCTTCCCACTTGAGTCAACAAACAAAAAAACATTCATGAATGCTACAAAAAGGAGCTTATCCAGAATTCGGGCTTGGTGGGCAAATTATTCCAAGAAGTCAGGTCTCTAAGTCTATTCCATAATGCTACTTGAACCTTTTAGTTGATCTAATCTATCAGTAGTGGATCCTATTAATATTGGGAATATCATCAATCCAACAATTATTAGGCTAGCTGATTAAGTATGCAAATTAAGTTCCTTAAGCATGGTTCAACAAATTGAACTACTCGATATTCTTAGAGTCTTTGTATAAATTTTACAAATGAAATTTGCACTAATGTATTATAAAGTACTTATAATTAAGCACAAAATGAAAGGGAATGATTACAAATTTTAAAATTACTTGTAAAAATTACCTGCATGTTGGTTCCACTTGCCAGTCCAATGAGTTTAGCCAATCCTGCTGACATGAAAGGACCTTAACAGGATACAATTTAATTGACCCAACACCCAAGTATTTGAAAACATAATTTCATAGAAATAAAATTCTAATTTCAAACACTTGTAGTAGTTGTATTACGAAACAAAAAAAAAAAAAACAGAAAAGGGACCTTGTTAACTAAAGAACATAGGAACTTGCAATCAAGAACAATGTGATTAAGCAAGATAGAGGAATGGCCGCTGAATTTTGAATGCTTTAGCTACCCGTTTAGTAGTATGTATATAGAGAGAGAGAGAGAGAGTTTAAGGGTCACTTTGTCAGCATAATAAATATTGGTTATGGACACCAAAAGACTGAAAGATGAAAGATACTGCAACTATACAGTGTTCAAAGATTTTTGACCCCCAAGAATACAATAATAATTTAGACGTTTAAATGGAAAAGGATAGCATTGAAATTAATTGTTTGACCAAGTTTGATTTAAATATCCAATGGAATTCATGTGTTCATATATTTAAGTCCATTAAAAATTAGAATCAAATTCCATCCTTTCAATTAAATATTAGATAAATTTATTAAACTATATTTAAATTTTAAGTGGTTCGTGTAAACAATGCCATAAGACTGAAAGGGCCTTAAATGCTTGAGAAGAGAACCTACAAATTTCTATTTTCTTTTCTTTATGTCATAGCCTAAAGAAGGTGCCTTCTTTTGTAGTTTTAGAGCAAAAGCTTTTTTCCGTATGATTGATGTAATTATAAAGGGATTCTAAGTTGTCATATAATTAAAATATCTTTGCTCATTTCAGGGTATTTTAATCTTGGATATTCGGTTTTGTGTCTCTTACCGACTACGTCTTACATGTATTCTTCGTTGGCAGTTGTCAATGTTGTAGTAATTTCTATCGGTGAAGAGATAACAATTATGGTATTGTCATTGGCTAGTAATAGTTTCAACTTTGAGATCACATAAGGCAAAACAATATTTAACCATGTCATATTGACAATTAAAATCAAACTAAAAATCATGCAAGCCTAAATGGAGGAAAAATAAATTCGCATATAAAAGATAATTCCAACACCTGACAGTGTCCTACATTTCACATATCCCCTCTAACCCTTTTGTTTTTGTAACTACATTTTCTCACCAACCGATTCACATCTTAATTACCCACATTCTATCAAGTGACAATGATACTTTCAAAAAGCTTATTTAGTCTAGAAAGAAACTTAGTAAGACACATCCAAACGGTGGCTATATCGGCACAACACAGGCAGAAGTTGCAGAGCAGAACTGGTTTGGGGATCACCCACCAAAGAGCTACTATGGAGCTCCGCTTGATCTTTCCCAATCTCAGAAGGTACTTATCCATATATCTATATATATGTGTGTGTGTATGCGTGTCTGCATAAATACTCACAGTTATGTATGTACCCCTAAATTCCAAGCATGCTTCAAATAATGTTTTTTTGGAGTTAAAAGCATTGATTTTTTTCCGGTGAGTAAAAAACATTGATGTTATTACCTTTATTTGGTCTTTATCTCACAGAAAATCTGGAGATCAGGGTATATCATCACGGGGCTGGAATTTGAATGGCCAGCATTCCACTGATCATGCACTATTTCCTCATAACTATCAAGAGCATTCCACTGATCATGTTACATATCCTTTTGTCGAAACATAAAGGTATTCATCTCAGACAATGTTCTGATGACAATATTTTTTGAACTCCAGGTGAATCAGATCTAGAGCTAAAAGTATTTTGTCGACAAATATCACCATTTTTACCTCATAACTATCAAGAAAGCAACCTTCCTACCACTGTTTTTGTTTATACATTATGCAAATTTTACTTCTATATTTTATTCTCTTGTCACATGTTAAGTTTGGAACCCAACAAAATATCAATGATTCTCCTCGCTTGTTGTAGATCATCAGAGATTCTGTAAGCTAATGACCTGAAGGGCTTCATTTTAGTAAGAAAAGCATTTGTTAGTAATAATTTTTTGATCAACTATTGATGAATTCTAAAGTTTTGTCCTCTGTTTTAATGTATTGAAGAAAAAAACGGTTAATTGAAGCATATGCTTTTGTTCTTTGGTGCTAGAGTTATTGAGCAGATTTTTATTTTGTGCTTTGCTTACGCAATGGTTGCTTGTTTTTTTTTTAGTTAGTGAATACTGGGAAGGAAAGGGCAAAAGTTAGTCTTCTTTTTACATGGGAGGTAAGCTTTTTCTGCTGATACTGCCTACAGGAACTGGAAAAAATTACAGCATTGAAACCTTCTGTAATGCAAGCTTTTGGAGGATTGTCTCATCAATGCCGACGAAACGACACCATTCAATAAGTACCAAAATGATGGCCTCAAGAACAGATTATTAAGGCTTATATTCCCATGACGAAGCGAGACGATTGTGCTTCAGAATTGGGTCAATGAAGGCCGCAAGGTCTCAATTTCCGAACTTCAGAGAATTGCGAAACAACTCATGAAACGTCGCCATTACAAGCACACTTTTGAGGTTTGATCTTGTCAGTCTCTCAACTTATATAACATTATTATTATTCTGTTTTGTAGTAAATACATTACAAATGTGAAATGCTCCTTGGGGAAGAAAACAGAATGGAAATAGAAACCTGAGCAATAGAGGGGATCCGTTATAAGAACATACATTTACTCCAATCTATACACCGTTGCAGCTTTTTTTCGTACAAGCTTAATCTCTCCTGCACATACAACCCACAAAATCACATAACACCAAATTAGATAGTATCCACTAATTAAATTCTTTAACCTGAAGTATCATAAATGAAAAATCAACAACAAAGCTTGTAAATTAAGCTAGACCCAGTAATCAAAACCCTTGAAACAGATGATTTAAAGCAAGAACCATTAATCCACGTGTCAAAAAAGAACCATCATATGATCCAACACCCAAATTCATGCGGTGAAAATACCTCCACTGTCTAAAAAAAACAGTAAACTGGATAAATTAAGGACAATCCCACAAACAAAAGCCTTCAAATATGAAGCCCTATTTGATTTTTTAGGTTTCAGTGTGATTACGGAGGAGAGACAGACGGATGGTTTCTTCTTGGTCAATTTGTTAATATGCAGGAGAGAGAGAAAGAGAGAGTAACAACTCAAAAATAGGGAGACAGAGAGACAATAACGGCTCAGAATGGGAAGCAATTGGGTAGAGGTGATCATTAACCTTAAATTCTTGGCCAATTTGTGAATATGCAAGCGCCCTGGGGGGAGGGAGAGAAGGGCTAGCGGCTGAAGAATACAAAGAGATAGAGAGAGAGAGATTTAATGGATGAGAAGTAACGAATTTTGCACTATCTGAGGGATAAGGATGATATAATAATAGTTTTGAGGGAATAAAAGAGAAAAAAGCTCTCATGCATTGAGACTTTTTAAAATAATATAGATTATAATATAATTGCTGATGGCAAGCTCTAGTTTTACTATCGGATGTATTTTTAATGTTGCTTGTGCATGCCTCGGTGCATTTTTTAATTTCAACTTTGGTCATATTTGTCTTTTGATTGTAACTGTAACTTGGTTGTTTGGACTATAGTATGTTTGAAATGGCAACCCCAAAGGAGCCTGGGGCCGGGGGGACTAGTATTTATTTCTTAGAAATGCATCCTTGTTTTTTTACCTACCAGGATTTCTGTTTACAAATTTATGTTCCAAGTACTACTGTCTTGATTGATCAAGTGTTACTGGACTGCAGATTGGAACAAAACCATATGTGCTTGTGGGCTGGGCTGGGCTTACATTTCAGCAGTTATTCCAATTAATTTGAACAGCTGGCTGGCTAGCACACATAGTCGGAAGAAGCTGCCAACTGCATCATCATCCAGTGAAGAAGATTATCACCCCATCCAATCCATATAATAAATTCTTATTTGCTGGTTTGATGAGTAAAGAAGATTATCATCCAGTTTGGTTGGTTATTATTATTATTATTTTTTTTTTTTATCCATACAAAAACAGATAAATAATTCCAATATTTTTTCGTTTGACAAGGGAAGAAAATTGAATCACAATCAGCATCCCACGTGTCAAACTCCTGACCACTGGACAAAAAATGGACGTGGCAACACTCAGAAAAAAAATATCTATCCCGCTCTCTCTCTCTCTAATAATCTACTACGTTCCCACCTCTCTCTCTCTCTCTGTGTGGGTCCACCCACCCTCTGGAGGACGATCAATGACCACAACATGTTCCCGGCGGACCCACACACTATAACCGGTTCTGGCTAAAATCAAAATCAAAATCAAAATCAAAATGGGTGACGAGAAATGCACCAGCTCATCTTCATCAACCAAAAGCCAATGGCTACCCACCTTTTGATAAGCTCCTTATAAGACATCCTTCGACTAGCGACGGGACTTTTGCACCAGATTTATTACTCATACATAGACACACACACACACACAGAGACAAGAGAGAGAGAGAGAGAGCGAGAGAGTCTGTCCATCGTCATAGGAAGGAAGGAAGACTGTGTGGATCGATTATGATCCACTAAGTAGTTTAGCGGCTTTCCACTTTGTAGATAGTTTACTTTTTTGGTTTTGTCCAAAAATTATTGCTGACAGACAACGAAGGAGATCAAATGGATTTTGCTGGACCTACTTCGTTCCTACGTACTACTGTTTCAACTTGTGGCTGACCACAAATTAGGGCTTTTGTTTTGTTTTGTTTTCGGTTTGCTTATTGTTGGAACGTTGTGCTTCTTGGATGTGGAAAATAAGTGAAATAGTGTCGAGCGGCGAAGAAGAAAGGATGGACGTGGAACTGAAGAAGGAAAATGAGGAGAAAAAGAAGACGAACAAGAAAGCAAGCTCGTTATCGGATATGAGTAAGCGGGAGAGTTATCTTAATCTTCCTCGGATGCTTCTTAGAGTTCTGCTGGTAGAAGCGGACGACTCCACTCGTCAGATCATTGCTGCTTTGCTTCGTAAATGCAGTTACACAGGTGCTTTCCTCCTCTTAATTTTTTTTTTTGTGCTTCTTTCTTTTTATCAAGAAGTTTTGTTTTTGTGCTTGCAATTGGGTTACAAATGAAAAATCAATCTTGTTTAGGTTGGCTGGCTAATAGGGAGCGTTTGACTTTCGACTCCTAGTAGCCTTGTGGACTGTTCCTCTTCTTATTTTAGTTTTCGTATTTTTCTTTACATTTCAGTTTTCTTAACATACATGGTCTGATGATCAATGATAAAGTTGCCCAAGAGTTTGAATAATTATGACCAACTTCAGCATTGTCCCTGATTGTTCTCATGTCATAGACAGCAAGAGCATCTGAGGGTCATTCTCATTCATTGGGGGATTAAACGTGTGAAAATTATGATACTTGTTCTGTTTGACTGGGTACGGAGTTGGTCTTGATAGAGTATGATTCATGTAACAGCACAGTGACCTTGCACATATTAAGTCATGAACAGCTCACCTGAGTGATTATACTGCTATATATTTTGTAGTTTGGATTTAATTTCCAATAAGTTTCGTTAATTTTGGTTGAACATGGCCATGCTTGACCAATAGAGATATCTGTCTGCTTCAGATGTCCCTCTTGTGTGTGCTTATCCCAACTAGTGTTATGGATGGTATAATTCCAGACTCTAATGATGTTGTGTTTCCATGTGAATGTTTGTCAAATACCATATACAAGATTTCATTTTATTTTACATTTTTCAAATGGTTTCTTCACTGTCATTGCTACCTTGATTCAATCCTCCAATCAACAAGGTGAATCAATTTGAAAACTTAAATGTGTGCTTTATTGTGATAGAATTTTCTTATTCTTGTTGGAGAACCATTTTACCCTTGCAATTTTTCAATGCACAAGTTCTGTTGTCAACACCCATTTGTTTCTTATGTTTATTTTGTTCAGCATATGAATACAAGTTATCACATGGGTTATGACATCTTGAACTTGTGAGGGCTTGGGCTTCTGGACCTAATCAAAAGTACTATGTTTGCTTGAGCAGTTGCTGCTGTCCCTGATGGTTTAAAGGCATGGGAGACATTAAAAGGGGGAACTGACAAGATAGACCTCATATTGACGGAAGTGGAGTTGCCATCGATCTCTGGATATGCGCTTCTCACCTTAATTATGGAGCATGACATTTGTAAAAATATTCCAGTTATCAGTATGCTGTCATGACCATATATTTACTGTTTTTCTGTTTCATCAGTTCGATATTTGACATTACTTGAGTCTGGGCTTACACAACTCTTAAATACTTGTGATCATGCAGTGATGTCGTGTCATGATTCAATTAGTGTGGTCTTGAAATGCATGTTAAAAGGCGCTGCTGACTTTCTCATTAAGCCTGTGAGGAGGAATGAGCTGAAGAACCTATGGCAGCATGTTTGGAGAAGACAAATGGTATGCTCCATTTTCGCACTTATCTTTTCCTATTCGTACTGTGTTTTGGTTCTGTTTATATGATTCAAAATGCAACCTTGATTTGAATAGCAAACTGCTGGGCATGTTCCTCACAATAGAACAGCTGCAAAACGCGAAGTTGAAGCCGTCTCTGAAAACAATGCTTCAAGCAATCATTCGAGTGATTGTCTGGCTTCTACCAAGAAAATAAATGAATGCAGTGAGAAAGGAAGTGATGCTGAAGTGAGTATTGATTCATCTTGTAGAACTAAGTAAAGTAGTACAAATGTACAATATCTCTGCCGTATATCGTTTTGAATCTATTGATGCTAGGATTGCTGTTTTTTTTTGGGTTTTTGCATGGAAATTTTCTGCTAGCGAGTGTTAAGATCTTTGGTGTACGTCTCTTGTTAATGCAATGAAACAAAGGAAGTAACTAACTTTTAGTATCTCTTTTTGAGTCGTTTAGTGCAGAATGATTTAATCTATTCTGGACTTGGATTGCACAATTGACCATGAAGGAATTTAGTTTTCTTTTCTATGTACATTCCCAGATCAATGTTGTGGTGTATATGGAGCCACTAATATATCGAGTAAATTTTTTCTCAGATTAGGTTGGCTTCATGAAGTTTTACGAAGATTGCATGTTTTGTCACCTCTTGTGCAGAGCTCTTGTACAATGCTTTACTTGGAAGCTGAGGATGCATACATGGAAAATATGCAGGGTTTGTCACAGATAAATTTTGAAAGAGCATCATCTGATGAAAGCAATATAGCAAGGCATGAAGCGTGTGGAGAATTAGTTGAGAAATTGCTTATGTCTAATAATGAAACAGGAGGTATGTCACATCTTTTCTTTTCCTTCCGGTGCTAGTATTGCACTAATCATTAGTCTACCATTTATCAGCTCGGGCATCTGAGAAAACGATTTTTTACAGGAAAATCAAGTGTGTCTGGATCAGATGTTGCTTCCTGCAATGAATGTTATAGTACAACTGGACTCAGATCGGGAGAAGACCATACATTGAATAAAAATGCAGGTGCGTGTCTAGAAAGTTATGGAGACTACAGAAATATCATTGGTGAGAATGACCGGTGCACTGATGAACTTGTTGAGCCCTCAAGTGAAGCCATTGACTTGATCAGCAAATTTGAATACCGCCCAACAGACATTGCTGGATGTTCCGGCAGTGTTGCTCCATACTTAGAACTTTCTTTGAGAGGATCCTATCCCAGTTGCTCAAAAGATGTACGGACTAACCAACGGCATACTCTACACCACTCCAACGTCTCTGCCTTTTCACGGCAAGTCACTCTTTCAATAATCTTAGTATAGTCATATCTGGATGGTTCTTAGTACAGTCATATAGTCATATCTGGATGGTGCTGAAGTTGAGATTTGAAAAAGGCAACATTGGGTTATTTTTTTTCAGAGTACCCATGCTTTCAATTGTTTCTCACTGCCTTTTGTTTTATTGTAAAAGTGCATGTGTTATACAGTTATTGACGATCAGTGTACCAAATAAAAACAAAACAAAACAAAACAAGTGGACTGTTGGTGTAGTGCCATCCTGTCAGTGGTGATGGTAATAGGGTCACTGTTCTTATGGTGGAGCCGAGCGGCTGTCTAACATTAAAGTCAGTAGCCTCCGAACAGGTAGCGTAGCTGGCAATGAATATAGTTGTGGACCTGTGGTGATGACCATAATGGCAAATATTATGTTATGTCAATGAAGAATATATTTTGCCTGATATGTTGACCTCTATATATGTAAATTTATACATGTATTTTGCACTATTGTCTTGCTTAGATGTCTGCAGACTCCATAGCAGTAATATGGTTGTCAATGAAGATGGTTGTGGAGGTGACAATGATGGTAAAGATTGTGTGGTGTCGACGAAGTATATTTGTTTACCCAATTTGCTTACCTCCATGGCCTCAACTGTTTATATATTTTTATCTGTATTGTTTTGCAAAATGTCGTGTTGTTTGGTGTTATCAAGAACATGTCTGTCTTTTTATTCTTATTCCTTCCTGGATGCTTTCTTACCTGGTTTTATTCTTCATCTTAAAAGGTTTAAATATGTAATTTCAATGCATGCACCCAAAGCAAGGTTTGTGTTGGTGTCCTCACTGAAATATTCATTTCATCTGGTGAAACAAGATTTTGTGTGGTTAAGTGACTCAATTTTAAATGCCACCTGATAGTGGAATTGTAATTAACTCTTCATTTCTATCAGCAGGTATGATAATAGGAAGATTCTGCAACCACTTTTTCCAACATGGGCCGGTAATTGTGCTGAACCAAAGGAGGTTGCAAGTACTGATCAATTGCCTCAAAACTACTCTGGTGTATATTTGTCACATAATGCTGCTTTGAGTAGTAGTCAGGAAAACATGACCACTACGGTTGGCAGCCAATCTAGACAGAGTAAAGCAGCATTTCCAGGCTCTCAACTTAGTTTCATTCCTACCACTCGGGAAAGGTTTGATAGTTTGTGTGCCTACCATGGCCACATGTTTCCGCCCATACTTCATACTCATTCAGTGTTTCCCCCAGTGTGGAGTTCCAAATCAGCTGGCCAGCTGGCCCCTTTGCTGATGAGTGACTCACTTCATTCTGTTTCTGATATTAACAACTCAATACAAGGTAATCACACATTTGATGAAACTATCAACCACTCTGCCGGCCAGACTGTGCAACAGGAAGATATCAATGTGGAGCCGGCAGAAGTATTGACCCCTGGTCTGATTGGTGACAGTGGCTTCTTTGATGGTGTCAGAAGTAACCTTACCAACGGTGTGTGTGAAAACATATGCGATACAGTTGATGGCAATGCCACTCCAGCTGCATCAGTTTCTAGAGGCATTATTTCTGAGGCTGCTGTGAATGACAGCCATCTCATTGTTCAGGATGAGCTGAAAAGATTGGATTCTCTCTGCTCCACTCAAAGGGAAGTAGCTCTATTAAAATTCCGTTTGAAACGAAAAGATCGATGCCATGAGAAGAAGGTATGTTCTTCATTATATTTCTTGAATTGGCCATGTGACATCATGGATGGATGAACGATTTTAATGACAGAACTCTGTCCCAGGCATATTTTTGATACTTATTTGTATTAATGCATCATGGTACGGTGATCGAGTGCCATCACCACTCTCGTGGTGATTTCATCATCAACTTTTTCTTTTTTATTGTATAAGTGAAGATAATGGTGTGGAATTCCACATGTAATTCTTATACTGATATGCATACCTGTGGTTGATTGTGGTGAAAACATCATATGTAAGGCATGATCCATGTATATAGATATTTTAGATTCTTCATTGTGAAATTTCCATCCACAGGTTCAATATCAAAGCAGGAAAAGACTTGCTGAGCGGCGTACTGGTGTGAAAGGACAGTTTGTACTGTGTGAAAGGACAGTTTGTGCGTCTGGTGCAAATTGGATCTTCTCCCACTGATTTTGATGGCGGCCCGTGAGACTTGCCAAGGCTCTTTTGCTTCATCCCTTCTATGGAATGCTGCAAAAGTTTGTTTTCCTAATGACTTGGTAGCATTTGTAGGAAGAAAATGTGATTGTTTGGTGCACAGGTTGTTTGTGTGTTTTTGTATAATGAGAGCTAATATGTAGAAGCGTGTAATGTAATGAGACAATGAAAGGGAAACGCATGCAAGTTTATCTGACGTAGCTGTAGGTTTCAACTTGATATTTTTCATTTTAAGGGGGGTAGTGTTGTGATTATTTAAGTGTGCTGATCCAGCCTCAGTTTCTTTTGTGTGTATCTATGTACATTGTTCTATCTTCATGGAAGTGAGTGGGTTGGTTGGGTTAAAATATATATATATATATATATTTCTTTAATTCTTATTGTTATTTGGAAGGGATGGCGAATATTGATATTCGAATATGTAAGGTATTAGTTAGATTGATGAATAAACTCTTACCCTTGTTGGAAGGAAATTCTAACTTATTTTACACCGACTACAAAATGAAGGAAAGCATCTTCAAGGAAAATGTTGCATGGAAAGTAATGGAAGTTGGTGCAATATGGCATTCATACGTGTGCTTTTGGAATTTGGATCCCAGTGGCCTGGTGACGAAGCATGAACCCAGTCCAACTGATACAAGGCCACGTACTGACTAACCAAGGCAGCAGCCGAAACTTGAAGATTTTGCCTTTTTTTTCTTGCGGTGGTGCGAATGAGACACCCTTTCTTTCGAGAGGCGTCTTTCTCTTTTGTCGTTTCAATTCTACTTTCGGCCGCTCACAATACGTACATATAATAAAAGGCTCTTAAATAAAGAATTTCAGAAGATCAATTAGTAGTATGATGAAAAGGATTTTCTAAACCTTTTCAGGGAGGATCGCCCTTAGCCAGTAGCCACCCACTCTTGATCAATCATCGGCAACATATCCTTTCGACAACGTACGTTTTAGTCATCCATGCCAAATCCAAAACTGGGATTCAATAATCAAATTTATCTAACCCATATATAATTGAATTCGCTAATATTTGTTTTCTCTAAACTTCCTTTACCAATATTTGTTCCAAACAATTTCAATCCACTTGACATACCCATGGATTTAGAAAGAAAACCAGTGGTGTAGAGATAATTAAATTAATGAGGTTGAAAAAAAAAATTATATCTCAAATTTGGTTGGGTGGGACTGGGACTGGGACTGGGATGCTTTTTCTCATAGAAGGAAAAAAAAAAAAAGGTGCTTAGATCAACTGGTCAAAGTTTGTATCTGGCCTTCATTGATAGATGATCAATTATAATATATACGAAAAAACAATATCAAGTAGCTTGGATATATGATAAGGATTTCTCTAGCTTATACTTTGTCATAGGGAAGTAAGTTTATCTTTCCCCTTTTTTGACTAAAGTAGGGTACAAGTGCATAAGCCATAAAGATTTTATCGGGTTTCTCTTTCCAATCTTTTATGTAAAGAGTAATGACAAAGTAAAGCAAATTAATGGCAAAGAAAAAGGAAAAGAAAAAAAAGGGGTTAATAGTATATTTAGTCCTTAAAATATGTATTTTTTCTCGTTTTAAATTTTATTGTATCACTTTTTGTCGATTTAGTTTCCAAACTTTTTAATTTGTATCATTTTAATCTCTGTATAGACAAACTTTTAAATTTTTGACAAAATGATGACATGTTATACTCTCTAAAAATAATGACACGTAGTCGTTTTCGTCAAAAAACTTAGTGAATTGTTTGAATAGGGATCAAAGTAGTGCGGATGAAATACTTTAAGGATCAAATTGATAAATAAAATTAAATAATGAGGAATAAATTAGCAAAATATATATATTTTAAAAATAAAAAATACTATTAACCTAAAAAAAATGTCATCAGGAGAAAGAAAAAAAAACATACATAACAAAAATGGAAGAGTGCGAAAGTGAAGACCCTCCCAATGGTTCAAATAAAATTAATTGAAAGAAAACAACTTTAGTTTGGAATATATACATTTTTCCTGTCCCTTTCCCCTCTTTTTTCTGTTCCACTTGTCCTCATATTCTTCTTCTTCTTCCACCTTTCCTATTGTGCACCCCCCACGATCACCTCCCACCCACCATTCTCTCTCTCTCTCTCTCTCCTCTATATACCTTTATAAAAACATTGTTTCCATGGCAGAAGAGATCGGACCAGAAAAGAAACAACCACTGGCCGAAATGACCGAGGACAAGCACAAAAAAGATACCCCCATGGCTTCCCCCTACGCGCCTAAACAAGTAGGCCGTGCCTTGTGCTCGTGTATGGTTGTCTTCCTTTTGCTAGTAGGTATCATAGCCCTGGTAGTGTGGTTAGTGTATCGTCCCCACAAGCCAAAGTTCACAGTTGTCAGCGCGGCCATCTATTATCTCAACACCACGGCCCCACCGTTCCTGTCCGTCACCATGCAGTTCACCATCGTCACTAGAAACCCCAACAAACGAGTCTCCATCTTCTACGACCAGCTTTCAGCTTTCGTGTCGTACAAGAACCAGGCGATCACGCCGCCAGTGATGCTGCCACCTCTGTGTCATCGAAAGCACAGCACGGTGGCGCTGTCGCCGGTACTGGGCGGGGCTGCCGTGCCAGTTTCGGTGGAGGTGGCAAATGGGTTGGTGATGGACAAGACTTATGGGGTGATGGGTTTGAGGCTGGTTTTGTTAGGGAAGCTGAAATATAAGGCTGGGGCTATAAGGACTGGGCATTATGGGATATATGTGAAATGTGATATGTTGGTTGGGGTGAAGAAAGGCTTTGTGGGCCAAGTGCCATTGCTTGGATCTCCAGAGTGCAAAGTTGATATATAAAGCTTAACATTGAATATTTTGGCTGTTCTTTCTTCTTTTTATCATGTTGTTTTTAGTCTGTTCTGTAAACCTTTTACCTGCCAATCTATAATAATGATACTTAAAGGCAGATTAGTTTTGCTCTAGGCAATGTTAGGGCAAAAAAATAAAAATAAAATGAAACAATGGGTTTCTTTTCTTCTGTTTGATCTAGTCCAGCCCCCACTTCCTTTAAGCAATTCCTTGCCTTGTTCAGTTGCTCCCACTTTTGGTTAGCCGTGGGCGTCAAAAAGGTATGAACAAATGGCTGCATGCGCATTTGCCTTGTTTCCGCTCTTGGCTAGCTGTGGACTTGAAAAGTGAACAAATGGCTCTTCGTGCAACAAATTAATCATCTTAGTGTGTCATACTGCCAAAAGCCAGATGGTGTATATATCTCTCATTTTGGTTTATCATTTTTTGCATGAGGCAAAATAAGTGGTGAATTTAGGAAAACTTTGCGGCAACTGTTGGTGTTGCGAATTGAACCAATATTCGTGATCAGTAGAGTTGCAATATCCCACCACCAACTACGTAAAATGTTCACTTCGAAATTGATATGCTCTACTCAAATTGCACCCACAGCCTTCTAAAACTGCTGCTTCATTCTGTATGCTGTGTGAATGAGACTAAAGAACTGCGGATAGTCTCTCTCTGCCTCTCCAAGTGCTGAAACTAGTTTATTCTTTGTGACGAAACGTTTGTCTTATGGATTTATCCTTATCTAATTTATTGTGCATTAGTAATGAATCCTAACATTAAATACTCAAAAACAGTAACGCTAAACTGACCAAATTTTGTGATTAAATTTGAAGCACAAATAACATGACAGTTGACTTGAGTTTCTTTAATTGGTGTGATGTCATTTGGACACCAATAAAAACTTTAAATAATCAACTGTCATATCATTTGAGCTACAAATTTGGTCCTAAAATTTGGTCAGTGTAGCATTACTCTAAATAAAATGCACTTTCAATTCAATAATCATAATGTATTCCTAAAGAGTAATGTTATTTGAATTTAAAATTTTGACATCATTTGTCGACTTAATTCACTATGACTTTGAAATTAACTGTAGGCTCCATCAAACATTAGAATTTGTTTTTCATCCAATGATTTCAATAAAATCACATCATTAAATTAACAAATAAGGTCAAATTTTTAGACCTCAATAATATTATTCATTCCTAAAATACATATATAAGTAAAACTATATATTAAACAATCAGGGAAGGGAGTAGGACTTTGATACCTACACTTTTATTCCAGCCATGGGTATGGCATCTCTAAACTTGTCTCACGGAAGCTAGATAGAATCTCTGAGTGAAGTGGTTGGACGAGGCATCAGGTTCTTCACTACAGTTAAATGATTAGCCACTTATCGACGTAGAATCTTTACAGATTACTCAATCAGTTGTTTTGAAGCAAATATCTATTTATATAATAAAGTAACTTACAATTTAAATTTTAAAAAATAAATAAAATAATTTTTACTATTCGCGGTTGCGATCATTTTAAATTTTAATTTAAAGTTAATCTAACAGTTAATATTAAAACTCCAAATTTAATAGAAACAAATAAGCCTCTAAGAGTGTGTTTAGAGTAATTTTTTAAAAGTGTATTTAGAAATTATTTCTTATAAATATTTTTTTAAAAAAAGTGTTTGAAACCGCCCACCATTACCTCTATCACCACCACTACCACTGCCACTGCCACCACCACCACTGCCACTACCGCCGTCGCTACCACCACCGCCATCAGCACCACCACTGTCACTGCTGCCACCGCAACCACCATCGTCGTCACTTCCACCCCACCACCACCACGATTATTGCCACTCACCATAACCAACACCATCTCCTACCACCAACACTGTCGCCCACCACATCTCACCCCCACTATAAATCGATGTTTAAATTCTTTTATTTATTTTTTATGTTTGTAATTTAATTTTGGATATGAATATAAATATGTTTATTGTTTATCATTTTTTATTAATCTGTACCTTCAGGTACAAACAATAACTAATATATATATATCAGAGAATCTCATGACCCTATGGAGAACAACATAAATGCTACTTTTGAACTGAATTCTTAGACCATTAATTTTATGAAACATCCTAAAGTTTGTTTTTATGTGGGCAGCCCCTGTTCCACAATTAGGATCAGCGGTACTAGTGTTAGAGGTAGGGTAAAACCACAATATAGTTTAGTTTCCACATTCCTTCCTTATTCTAATTTGAGTGGCAGACCACAGAATGGTGCATTGGGAACCTTGGTTGGGTTTTGCACTTTATGTTACGGACATGGAGAGCGAGATCACAAGTACTTTTTGTACATTGACCCTCAATTTTCACTCGATCTCTTATTATAAATTGAAGTAAGATTAATTTGTTATTTATAAATGGATCTCACATGCTAGATTTGAATGAAATTAAGTGAGATTAGATCCACGATGAAGGTACTATTCTCTCTCTCTCGTGTTCAGACTTTGAGACTTGAGAAGCTAAGATTTTTTACTTGTTAATTGATAAACAAGTGGACTGATATCAGTTTTGCATTTGGAGAGGACCATACTAGCTAGGCTGGGCATGTCTGGACTTACAGCCTACAACCAAGGCCCAGCTCAAGACAGAAAGAACCTGATAATTCTAAACAAACAGCAATGTCTTCTGATGATATACAAATTGATTTTTCACATTATCTGTCAAGGGACTAATAATTAATACAGTAATAAAGTGGAGAGAGACAATAACTTAAATGCGACAAGGATTTATAATGGTTCATTTAACATGACTTACGTCCACTTTGAAGGGCTAAGGTTGCCTGGATATTTTATTACTTCAAGGGTATGTAGTGAAAGCAGAGAGATACAAGCTGTCAGAGACATTGGAGAGTAGCAGATGAGCTCGATTGAGTGTGTTGCCCCCCAAGTGTTAGTGGGACTTACAATTTATAGTTGTCTCTTAACAGATTGAGGCGACTTATCAGTAACTAAAAAACTAATTTGGTGGAGCTGACACTATCTTCTCAATGGATGAGGTAGTTACGGCGCTCCCCATAAGATCTGGTCAAAAGATGACGTGGTGGTTGACTTCTTTTAAGACGGCGTGGATGAGGCTCTTGGATGACCCTTACTCCAAGGTGGCTAGGATGAGGCTTTTGGAATGACCCTTACTCTAAGTTGGTTAGAATGAGACTCTTTGAATGACCTTTACTCCAAGGTGGATAGGATGAGACTCTTAATTTAAGTTGGGCTTATAATAGGAGTTGGGCCCTTGGGTGCTTAACCCATCATTTTCCCCCCAATGCCCTGTGTCCAAAAAAACTTGGAGGAGGGCATTTGGTTGAACTTGGATTTTGGCTGAACCCAAAATTGAAAAAACTTCGGAAGGCTCAAACACATATTTTCAGGCCTTTTTTGGACTTTTAACGATGTCCATCAAGGCCAAAGGCCATGAGCCTTGTAGGACTCGTCGTAAGCTTCGATTTGATATAATGTGGGCCCTGTTTGGAGAAACAGATCAAGAGTTACGATCAAAACAGTGTTGACCTTTCTTGGACATGGATTTCATGGAGACTTGTTTTGACTGATTCCTTTCCTTCAAGTCGAGACATCATAGTCGTTGGGCACCATAGTGAAGGTGCCATGGGCGCCGATGGCAGGCAGCCATGCAGTTCGCAAAGGAGAAACCACCATAAGGGGAGGCTCAACGTTGGAAGGGACGCCATCAAAAACAAGGGCGAGCCTTGATGACCCTCTTGGCGAGGTGCTAGGAACGTCGCATGGAGAGGCGTCGTTAGGTTAGGCGTAAAGGGTGTCGTTGACCAGAGAGGGAGCTTGGGCGATGGAGGCGTCGATGGGGGGCACTTCGGGCAAGCTCCAAAGGGTGTTCTTGAGGGCATGGCGCCATGAACATCGCTGGTTGGAGAAGGCAGTGAGGTTGGGCGCCATAGAGTTGAGGCAGGCCAAGTGACCTACGTGGGCATTGCTGGCGAGGCGGTCCAAGCAGGTGCCAAAGGCGAGGCGTCATGGACGCCTAATGCTGCGACCCTGTTGATTGTGAGAGTGGAGCTTATTTGAGTGATTGGCACAAGCGATAGAGCCTATAGACGGCGCCATCAGGTACTAGATGTGGCCAGGTGAGTGCGCAGGCAACACTGGGTGGACCAGGCATGGCAGCGGAGGTTGGGCGCCTAAAGGGGGTGCTAGGAGCGAGGCATCTAAAAGGGAGTCAAGAGACTGGGTGCTAGGAGTAGGAGAGCTAGTACCCAGGAGTAGGCGTCAAATCCTCAGTATTGGGAGTGTAGGCAAATCTTGTTTGCTCTAGGTGTTAAGCACGGAGGCGCTGTGGCAAGGAAACGATGGTGTCGGATGGCCACAAAAAGCATGTGACTCGATTGTTGACATTTCAATCTAATGTAGTCCCTCGGGTTGTAAACAAGCTGAGTTTCAAGAGTGTGCCTAGAGATGACAATAATAATGTTATTCGAATATCAAAATATCTAATATGATTATCTGAAGAGAGGGGAAACACATCGGTTTGTAGAGAAATAGAGGCTGCTTGCGTGAGAGCAAAGACAAAATTTGAGGTTACTCGTGAGAGCTGCACCTTTTTGAGACCGAGCTTTTAGCGACCTATGAGAGAGCCCCTAAGTTAGAGATATAAGCTGTCTGCTTGAGAGCAGAGCAGAAGCCAAACTTTTGTCAACCCATGAGAAAGCCCCTAAACTTGAGGTATAGGCTGTCTGCTTGAGAGCAGAGCAGAGATCAAACGTTTGGCAAAAAGCCACTCAGTTGGAGATATAGGTTGCCTGCTTGAGAGCAGAGCAGAGGCCAAGCTTTTGGCGATCCGCGAGAGAGCCGCTCAGATGAAAATATAGATTGTCTGCTTCAGAGCAGAGTAGAGATAGGTCAAGCTTTTGACGACCCACGAGAGAGCCGCTAAGATGGAGATATAGGATGTTTGCTTGAGAGCA